ACTCCTCGAGTCTCACACCGCCAGACGCATGTGCCTCGGCAGAAGCAGCGGCAGTGCCCTCGACACCCCCCTGGGTGCATGGTGGGGAGGCAAACGTGTCGCTGAGATCCCCCCGTGTCCCGCTGAGAGCGTAACGTTCGTGCAGCTCATCGCGCGACACTTCTCCCCGTTCGTTCTTCGGCAGCACCTCCCAGGCGCGCAGGACGGCCTTGTGACGTCGAGTGTTCAAACCCGTGAGGTGGCGCACAAACCTGTCGGATGTGATGTAGCCGTCCTGGTCGTCGTCAAACGCGGCGCACAAGTACTCCGTCTCCCCTTCGCGAGACCGCATGCCAAAATCCCGCAGAAGATCAATAAAAAGCTTGTGCGTCACGCCCTTCTCACCACGCGCCCGCTGCTCCTCCTCCAGCTCAAAGAACTGTCGCAGTGCCTCAACGACCGACTTTGGGCCGCCCCCACGACGCAAGGCGCACTTCACACGCAAAAACACGCAATCCTCGCGAGGGTTGTTCGTGTCACTCCACAGCATCGACGCCACCGCACTACAAAAGCAAAACAACAACAACAACAAAAACAGAGAAACTGCAGTCTCGTGAAAAGCGCACACAAAACCTAAAGCTACACCAAAAAGCAAAGGAACGTGGAGAAGCATGCAAGTGAATTATTGGCCGAAACGCCGCAAAAACAAACAAACAAACCAAAAAGCGGCAGACACGTACGTCTGCCCACAAACACACACTTGTGAAAACAAACACTTTTATTCCCGAGCAAAAAGGAGCGACTGTGAAAAATAAACCACCCGAATACTCCTCTCCCCACTCAAAAAGAAAAAGAAAAAAAGAATAATAAAAAAATCATTATCAAAATGAAAAAAAAATTCATATTATGTGATACAGACTAGCCTTTCTTCAAAGGGAGCGTGATACCTGGACCACTGCTTCTGATACCGCGCCGCACGTGGATCCTTCAGCAGGTTTATTGTCCTATCTGTTGCGTCATCGCTGTTGTTGTGCCAAAAGGCAACAAACTCCTCAATTAAGGCACAGAGCAAAGTGGAATTTTCGTCCTCCACGCTTCTCAGAATCTCGGAGTACTCATCCTCCTCATGACTACAAGTGCCAGGGAAGCCACTGGAGCCACCGCATGAGAGCACATCATCCATCTCTTCTTCCAGTCCCCATGGTTTCAGGCCGGAAAAAAAAGGCGCCACCAAAGCTCCACGACCACTGAAAAATTCATCCGCAATGAAGGACGCACAAGTGTCGTCTACCAGCAGTGAGGTGGCGGGAAAACCGGTCACCGCCAGCGG